TAGTTGACAGCACCGCCGCCACCACAATTGTCGTCATTTTCCACATTTGCAGTCTCACTCACGATCAGTTCCTTTTCAAAACGCCTATTCGAACTGATGAATTATAGGAGGCGGTCTTCTCATCAGTACTTAAATTCCCTAGCTTTCCACTGCTCATAGAACTAACTCCTCCAGTCAATAGAAATGTCACACTATTCGTTTTCCTTTCATCGCTCTAAATAATGCTTGTAAGCAAATGAAATGATGCATTTGCTTCATTTATTTGCCTTTCTTTGCCAGTCAAACCACTGAATGTATGAATGAACTAATGATAGATTCACGTGGGATTCACGCCGGCCGACAAATTCACCACAGCACAGCAAATTATAGCTGCTGAGCTAAACCCAGCCCAGTCCAGCCCCACTGAACTCTCCTCCTCTTCCTTGTTCCCGTTTCCACTGATAGATCAGATGGAGTGTTTGGTGTGTGAGTGAGTGCTTGCTTGCTTGCTCGCACGTCTAAGTCGTTCACTGACGCAAAGCTATTGCCATATCTGTTAATCCAGCCCAATATCCTATCGAATCCACTCGATAAACACTACAAGTCCGATCGATAAGTCGCTATTGTTTGATAGCAGTTCGCTCTCTTCTCACATCCATCTACTCTCATCACTACTATTGCAACAATTACTGATAATAATAGCAGTAGTTGAAACAAAGCAATTACTAAAACTGCACACTAAAACTAATAATTGATACAACTGATCAATTCACTTCAAACAGGTCACCGATTGGTGTTCCCGTCCTAAACAATAATCTGTAATCATTGATCTCGTTCACTTCAGCTTTCACTCATCTCACCTTCCAGTTCATCCATTTATCCGCATATATCCAGCCAGCTAAATCAGCTCCAGGAATCACATATTGCCTTCGAACCACAAAATTCTTCTGATCATATTTTGCCCCATCGATCAGCTCAATTGAATACGGGTGGTATTAAAATATTGGATCAATTGTTAAGATTTCCCTCAACAAGACCGCTGAGAAATATCAAATACCTATATAACCTTGTGGAATATATTAGCAGCTAATCAATTCAATCTGTATTGATCGGTTATTCGAGAATACGGTAATATTTTGCGGCTCTTTGTTGAATTATTGCCTGAGAGGAAGTTCACTGATTCTCTTGCTCCTTTCTGTTCGGTGTTGTTCTTTTTAGCTATTGCTAATCTGTCTGCGTTTGTGGGCATTCTGCTTACTAATCGCCAGATAATATAAATACTGTTATTGTTTTGATAAAAGTCTCGGTCATAAGCTCGCATAAATATTCTATTTTATCTTACCTCAAAGTGTGAGTGATTGAGAAATCGCCTTAATTGCTGCGGAGGTTCAAGCAAGATTTGTTCGTTGAATTACACATTCGATTCGGTTGCAAAGTAACTGATTTAGCCATTTGATTTGTTTTGATTTATTGTGATTCCATCGATTTAATTACAACTATTCCTGTGTTCAAATCGAAAAACTTCGCAATATTCCCCGTGTCGTGATCACCATCATCATCGTATTCATTCGTACTTTATTGAAACCGTGAACGTGCTTCTTCATTCTTCAATCTACTGATCCGTCGCCTACACAAATTGATTGTGAATAATATAAACTGTTCACCTGAATTGCGACAATAATTTTTTATTGTTCAGAAAATTAATACGAATCAACCAGAAATTAACCCAACATTTATATAATTCCGCAACTTCGAGCTGATCAACTAGAACAGCAATGAACCATCATGGTAGCACACTGTCAACTCCTCATTCATCAGCAAGCGCGACAACGCGGCACACAAATTCGGATGATCGTTACGATGAGATCATCGAGAACGAAGTTTGCAATCGACTGATCCGTTTATCATGCGATAAAATGGTGAATTCAAAGCATGAACGCGGAGGTGCAAAGTTGCATCGTAATCTGCTCATATTGCATTTGTTGAGACGAGCTCGAGATGAACAGAAAAGGTACGTTCATCATA